GCGCGCACACTGAGGTGGCTTAGAAGCTAGCACAGCGTGCAAACAATGATATTTAAGTTTGTGATTATGAGTAGATAGACAGACTTACTCTCTGCACACAGCATGGCTGCTATCTTTTATCCACCGTATTCTGCTTATTTTGGTGTTGCTTATCGCTAGTCCTGAGGGATATGACTGGTTGCTTTAGTGCTGGGGCTAAAGAATGTGCTCACTGTGTTTCACCACAGCTAGTCTCTGACTGTGGTCTGTCTGCTGTTTGCTGCTGAGCACGTAGTGGGTGCAGTGCTTTTCAGCTTTTTCTCTGAAAACATGCGTGCTGACAGTGAACCCAGAACAGTAAAGTTGATCTGGAACCAGAATAACAAATGAAGTTGCTGAAACCCTTTATAAGCTCTATTAAGCAAGGTGGAGCATGAGATTCATCTGATATTTCTCCTAGAGTTACTAAATTAAACACATTTTCATTTAACAGATTGCTATTATTATATTTCAGCTGCTTATAAGGATGAGTATAGTTCCAGTGTCTCAAGTCTCCAACGTTTTGGAATGTTTATTAAGGCAGTATAGATATTTAAGATTTTGTGTCTAGGCCTCAGCTGCGCAAATACCTTAACCCGCCTAGTCGGAGCTACAGGTGGATGGGCTGGGGTGGTTGGTGGGGCTTATTAGAGCAGCAGGACAAGAAAATAGCCTTACAGAGCAAGGCAGCAGGAAGTACCTGGTGGCAGGCAACCAGCGGCATTGACGAGGAGAGGGAGAGGCTGGGAAATTGTACCAAGAAATGGATTGTGGCCAATAATGATACTCGAATTTCTATCAAATAAGCCCTATTTAATAAAAGTGTTTATTGGCTTACCTTCACAAAATACATATATTTTATACGAATATACCAGGGTCCCGCAACTTGAGGGAATTCTTCTTATAGAATCAAATGTCTTCCAACTTTAGAATATTATATTATGGTGCATGTGTAATCATGCTGTGTTGTGAGACTCATGCTCTAAACTATTTCGCTTGTCCGCTGTGATCTCCTATAATCTTATTTCATTAATACGTTGTTTAATTTAGCGATTATACTTATTATATTGGAATTGTTGGGCCATAAACCCCCTTCCACAGTCCAAGTAATCTGCATTGCTGAGGTTATGTTATCTCCTCCTAAGTAGCATCCACTTTTGTTGACACCATTGTATAACATTCAGTTTGAGCAGATTTGTGTAATATGTGTCTTTGGTGAGGAAATAATAAAATAGGATCATGACAGGTAGGTTAAGTGGAATATTAACTTCCGACCCATGAAGGTGGCATGTTTTTCCAGCTGTGACCTAGGTAAACAGCAGTCCAATGTTAGTGGCCCCGTCCTGTTGACTGAGCGGAGACACACATCTGGACCCTGACTAATCTGAACACCTAGAAAATGACACTTTGGCTTCATAGCTAAGTGCAGCTGTGTGTGTGTTTGTGTGTGTGTGTGAGAGAGAGAGAGGCAGAGTCGGGGCTTTCCCTGTACTGCTAATGAGGGGAACACAGCTTTCATTGAGTGTGTTGCTTTGGGCTGACGTCCCCTGGCACCAAAAACACAGACGACCGCGGAAAGATGGAAAGACGATGGAAAGAACAACTCGACCAGAGGAGAGAAAAAGAGACACAGATAGAAAGTAAGAGGGAGAGAGAGAGGAGAAGAGGCAGATGCACAGACAGACGTATGCTTGGTTTCCATTCAAGTCATTTTTAAGCAAATTCCAATGCACTGACAGAGAAAGGTTAAATCAAAACAGCAAATCTTGGAGAAGGTTCTATATCAATATTGTAAGAAGGTTTTCACCCTCACATGACGTGTGAATGTTTCTTGTGGTTAAAGGAAATGTTGGAGCAAAAGTGATGGAAAGTTCAGCTTGAGAAATGCTTTACTCACATAAGTCTAATTTGGATTAAAATAATGTATATCAGGCACCAACTCCCAGTCATCTGTGCAGAGTGACTCTACTCTAAACTCCTAATATAACAGATGCTAATATGTAACCGCTAATATATATATGGCTGCACATGTATATGCAGCAGCTGGTAGTTCCCTCAAATTTGCTAAATTTTGGTTTTAATCTATATTTTTTTCTGCTTTATTGTGGAAACATCATCTAATGATGTGTGACTGGATTTGATTTTCAAGGTCTAAGCCACAACTCAAATTGACTAGACAAGGAGAATGGAAATGGCTATGCCTATATATTACATGATTACTCGGACTAAATGGTGGTTTGGTAGGTTTGGAATCACCTATAAAGCACTACATTTCTGAATTAGCGTGTGCCCTGACCTCAGTGAGATCTAATGACCAAGGCCTTCTGACAATCCCAAAATGTAGTCTTAAAACCAAAGGTGACAGAGCCTTTGCTGGTGTGGCTCCCATCCTCTGGAACCACAGGGCAGGAAACAGGCAGTGCTGTGGATGCCCCCTGGTGTGGCCCTAATGCCCCTTCTAAAATGAACTACCCACACATGTTTGTCATTGCCCTGTTTTGAACTGGCCCTTGTGCCGTTAAAATAAAATTCTTGGATTTTCTCATTAAACTACATGCCACGCATCAAATCAACAAAGTCACGTTTCCCAGTGTCTGTCATCAGCTAGATGAGCTAGACACCAGTAGCACGAAATTTCTCCCATAAATACATCTGTAACCAGCGACGTTCAGGTGCATTATAAATCTTACTGAGATAAAAGTATTATAGGAAAATTTAGTATAGTATAGTAGTTTAATAAGTATTCATAATGCAGTAAAATGGTCCCTGTAGTTTTTTTTAATTATTTTTCATGTTGTTATTTCCTGTTTTAACTTTCTAATACTTGCATTGTACACCACCTCATAACTCTGGATTTATTACTTACTTACCTACTGACTCACTTACTTAATAAGTATATGGATCAAATGAGAATAAGTGTATTGTCCTGTAGGAGGGGTTTGAGAGGTTTTGATGCTTTTTCTTGACAGTGAAACTTGGTTTTTATTAGAATCAATTGTAACTGCTGGAAATTCGAACTGACCCTGATCCGTGAAGGAACAAGATCCAAACTGTTCAGAGCCGCTTTTCAACACTTCACTTAAAAAAAAGATCAATGTTTGGTGGACTGTTCCTTTAACATACAGAGCACACTGAGGATCAAAGACACAAGCAGAAGAGAGGAAGAGAAAGAGTCTAGGGCAAACAAACAAAGTGACAGAGATACAGAGATAATTAGAATCAGGCAGTAAAGACAGGCGAGTAAACTGTAAAGAGAAACAGACGGGGAGAAGGCGGCAGTCATAATAAGAGCTGCTCCGCTCTGAAATGAGAGTTTGTTGCTGAGTTTCCAAAACCAACACTGACCGCTTTTCTCAGCCATCTGACACTTATTCTTGCTGCAGTTTCACTGGCCTGAAAACTCTCAGAGCTCGTCCACTGAGACCTCCATCTAATAAAAATTTACTTTCCATTTTTATCCAATAAAAATCAGATTTTCTTTCCGCTTGTTTTCAAAAAAGCATGGCTTCTCTTTCCATTGACTTTGCATCAAACTGGATTTTCCCTCCAGATTCTCAGCGTTATCTGTTGTTCTCAGTGGGTCCTTGAAAACCTGTTGAAGATCTCAGCTTTTCCATTTTCTTCATTCACACCTGATTGAGGCTGTTTGATGGACATAAAGCTAGATGACCTAACGTATACAATGATATCAACCATGCCATTCTAGCATAACAGGAAGGGGGCTAAATAACAGTGCAAACTGGCAAAGGAAAAACTGGCATGGCCATTTTCAAAGGGATCCCTTGACCTCTGACCTCAAGATATCTGAATGAAAAGTCCCCCCTTTGCAGACATGCCAACTTTGTTGTTTGTATGTGGTATAAATGTGCTATTTGAATATTTCTGCATACT